TTGTTGTTGCTGCTGCTGTTGCTGCTGTTGCTGCTGTTGCTGCTGTTGCTGCTGTTGCTGCTGCTGCTGCTGCTGTTGTTGCGGCTGTTGAGGTAGATGGTGCGATCCGGAGAACGCGTTCATCTGATTAATTTGCACGAGACTAGGCGGCACCGGACTGGGACCGTGACCGTGACCGTGACGATGTCCGTGACCTTGCATCGATCCGCTCGACGAATGAAGCGGATGATACCAGCAATAAGGGGAGGAACCCTCGGTGGAGGTTTGTTGGTGTTGCTGCGAGTGATGGTGACTCCACGGATTCGACAATCTTTTCCCGTAGACCGGCGCGTCGTCGAAGAGAACGCCGTTCTCGTAATACCTACGACATTTTTGCGGGGAACGTGACTCTCGACTGTCCGCGCGACTTTGGGTTCGCGAGTCGCGCGACGCAACCTCTGTTTTCTATTCAAACGGCCGAGGAACGACGAAGGCGAGAGCCGAACTCGAATCCCAATGGCTAGATGCGGGGATATAGGCACTCGAGGCGAGTTTACTGGCCGTCGAAGGGTAGAGAGTATAGGGTGGAGGAGAGGAGCTGGAGGATAGACGGCTCTCGGGGGAAGGAAGAACGGTCAGGGGTGTTCGAGAAAGGTGGCACCCCGATGATATATGGAAACGTCACCGGCAGACGTATCGAGAGGAGGCCAGCGGAGCTGCTAGTAGCATTGCCAGCGCGCCTCGTTCCGTCGCCTTCGAGTTCGCCTCGACGCCCCCTTCCTTTCCGCGTGTACGCGCATGCGGTACAGCGCGGCGCGCGTCGGCTAACGATATTTACCAATCTTCTCGCCGGTCTTTCGAGTCGCGATCGCGGCTTCCTTCCTTCCCGAAGACCGCCGTTGGAAATCGGTTCGTTCGCGGTCCTCGTGGCCGGGTCGCGATAAATATCGGCGGCCGACGCAGCTCTGCGGCCAAGGATTTTTCCGCGACGACGCGTCGCGCTTGCGGTTTGGCAAACGCACCACGCGCGCGTGTACTCGCAGGTGCGTGACTCTCGTTATCGTTACGGTTGAACGATTATCGCGGAGGTCTTCCGAGGGAGATCTATCTATCGGTAGCTGCGAATGTTCACTCACGGAGTATCGGATGCGCGACGTTTCGGTGCGTGCGGCGCGCTCCCGGAATAATGGTGCAGACCACCCGTGGCGTTGCTCGTGTGCTGAATGCCACCGACACCGGGATTAGAATTGGACCGCATGCCGTAATGAGCGGAGCACTGATTGCCGCCGTTTCCGTTACCGCTCCCCAACCCGTTACCAGCCTGCTCTCCGAAGATCTCGACCGGCTCCCCTGTCGATACCAAGCCGACAGCCTCCAACACCGCCGCCTCGTTCGATCGTAAGAACTGCGCGGAACTCTGTCGACGATACCAAACAGATTAGATTTCACCGAGGTGAACTCGACCAACGAACGAGAGAAGAGAAGAGAAAGGATGGACGAGAGAGAGAGAGAGATCGGTGCGGCGATTCGGTTTTTCCGCTCGTTTTCCCGAAACGTGGAAGCAGCTGCAGTCGTATCGGCGTAAACGTCGAGGCGTTTCCGATCGGTTTCGATGTTTAATATTCGCTGGTCGGCTTCTTTACGGCCGACACCTTTCGTCCAAACTTTCGGGCTCATACCCTCGCTGTCACAGTCCGCCCGGCAGAGTGGGATTTATCGGTGGTAATTCGATAAAATTGGACCTTCTCCCCGCCTCTGCTCCTCGCGTCCGCAGTTTCCGATTAACGATCTCGTCGATCGGCTGCTCCTCGCGCACGGCCCACCGGTCTCGAGAGCGACACTCGGACCGGAACGAAAAGAGCGCTCCGCTCCCGTACGTCTAATACACGCGAAGGGATCGATCCGCCGGCGTTGGTTGCCTCGAGAAATGGAAATGGTCGGTGCTCGTTTGCAATTCGTTACCAACGCGCGACGCCTCTCTTCTTTCGGCTTCCCCGCGAACGGTCCGCCGTTTGCTTTTCCCCTTTTCCCTCTGAATCGTTTCCGGTAGCTTTCGAGACGAGCAGCAGCTGGAAGCGGTGGCGCGACCGGATAGTCTCCATTAATTCCGCGAATAATAATACTTTATTCTTTCTTGGGAACATTAGGTATTCCCCGATCGTCCAGAGGAGAGGAGAGGAGAAGTTGTCTCGGTGTCTTATCGTGAAACCCGCTGGCGCGCTCCCACCCGGGATCGCGAAGTAGCCTGGGAAATTAAAACAAACCGGCGGCCGGTCAGTCCGAGGTCTGTTGATTTTCCTCGCAACTCCCGGACGCGTCCCGTTCCCTTCCCGACTGCCGGTTTCCTCTCGCCGGTTTCCCGCTGACCCTCGTCGTCCCATCTCGCGATTGGTCGTTTTCTCGAAAGTTGGATGAAAGTCGTTTCCGATCGAATACCTCCGCGACTGAAACGGATGAAATCTCACCTGATTATTCGCCCTGGCGGCATTGCTCAGATCCCTCTGCAACGAAGGCAAAGTGTGCTTCAGGTATGGTAACACGAAACCTCTGAGACGATAGTTGGTGGCCTCCTGCAGCGCCTGATGGAACTCCTCCGCGACCATGCTCCCGCTCTGCAACGACAAACGAGAGGATTCCGCTCGATTAACGTCCCGATGGTCCACCGGGTCACCGATCGGAAGATCACCTCCGCCTCGGAGATTCGGTTTCCGTTCCCCGGAGCGGCGACGTTCGCGCTCGCCTCCGTCGCGCGCTACGATCGTTTTACGGTCGATCACGGTTGCCAGATGTCACGGTTTCGGCACGAGTGCGAGCTCGGCGCACGCGAGGACGGAAAAAGAGAAACAGAGGAACGGAAGAATTTACCAGAAGCGCCAGCACCAGGGTTCGCACGGTGTCACCGGTATCCGGAGAGATGTCCGTAGCGAATTGGACGAGAGTGCCCAGCAGCCTCTTGAACATGCCGTGACCGGCGAAAACACCGGCGATGCATCTGGTGCCGGCGGTGCCATTCGACAGCGCGGGAACATCGTTCTGCTCTTCCGTTCTGCAGTTGGCAGGAGCTGGGCCGCCACTGCCGCCGCCGCCGCCGCTACCGCCACCGCTGCCAGAACCAATTCCATCCTCGAATTCGGGCTTCAGGGTGAGCGAGGATAAAGGACTGTCGTTGTCCGAGGATGCCGAGCAACCGGTTGCCCCTTTGTATTCGGACCGTGGACCATTGCTCTGCTTTTGTTGACCGCTCGGCACCACCGCCGCCGAACTCCTTTGATGCTGGGGGCTGGGCGAATGCACCTCCGGCTGGCCGTCTTCCCGCGAACACTCCTCCCTGCTCGCTCCCTGGGAGCCGGCTGCAATCAAATATCTCTTTTTCTTTCGGGGCTCGTCGGAGCGCGGGGAATTATCTCGGGGAAGTGGAAGGAGCGACGAACGCGCAAAGGACATCGTCGTCGCGAGCGTCCTTTGTGCGCGGCGCATATCCGGGGAGCCGTCAACCGCGGGACGGCCGAAACCGGCTGGCGAATCGTTTACAAACACGCTGATAAAGACAACGCGAATAGGCGAATAGCCGAATAAGCGAATACGCGGATACGGGAGACACGGGTGCGCGTCGGCCGTGTACTCGCTGCGTGGCTGCAGCGGATAACATGCAATTACGGGCCGTGTCATCCACCTTGTCTTGTTCCCATTCTGTGTTCCGCGCGTTATCTCGCGGAATGCCTCCGGCCCGGTGGCGCGCGCGACGAAACACCGTCATGGAATACGTGTGCCGATAACGAAACGTTACACGCCGGAAGCGTCCGCGTCGCGCCTCTCGTTTCGGAAAAACCAGACGATTGCCGTCGGCTCGCCGTTCGCGTTCGAAGCGGACGTTTTCGCGAGGGGCGCGTTAAATTCGTAACACGACTCGGCGCGGAGAGGCTCGGGACGCTTGAGCCGAAGGAGCAGAGGCAAGAGAAGGAGGAGGAGGAGGAGGAGGAGGAGGTACCGCCGGCGCTACCGTGTCACTGCCACCTGACGCCGGTAGCCAAGAGGTAATTACCTGTACCTGAACTCTCGGCAAACTAAACTACCTTGAACGCAACTTACGCTCCTCGCTGGCGTTCCGATCGAAAACCGAGCTGCCCGCGCCGACCCGCCCAACGGCCTCCTCGCCGAACCTTTTTCCAGCTCGGTTCTACTCGGTTCGACACGGTGTGCGTCTCGTCCTCGAACTGGCAAGGGAAACTGTGTTCGCCGAACGAACGAGCGGCGGTTTCGACGCGCACCTGGAGCACACGCGGAGCAACGTAGAAGCGGCTCGTTGTCCCCGTAGACGACGTTTCACGAGCGCAAAGAGAGATCGATAAAGCGCACGTGCTCCACTCGGCTGAGAGTCCCTGGGTGGAAGTAAGTACGCCGGGACTCAGCTGTCGCCTCCTAATTGCCGGGACAATGCAACAGATGGCTTTGATCGCAATCCCTTCCCAGCCATCTCCTCTCCTCTCCACTCCTCTCCTCTCTACTCTCTTTTCTCTCGTCTTTCGTGGCACTCGCGTTGCTCCGCGTCTCTCCATCCCCGTCGGTTCCTTCCGCGAACCCTAGCAGCTTTTCCTTTCCAGCGGCGCCGATCGCTCGGCGTTCGACCTCTCTTCCCTCTGCTCGCTCGAGATTCCCGGCGATTCTCGATCTCGTACGCGTCGAGTTCGAAAGGAGCCGACGCGGAGGAGAAACTGGAATTCGCGGAGGAAACAGCGGAGGATAGTCGTGGAAAGATAGGAGGAATTTCTTTCGCGGGAGTACCGGTTGCCGAGGGGACTCGCGTATATCGCGGTCTCGCCAATCGGATTTGCGCCGAGGAGAGGTTAATATCTCGCCGGTGTAACGCGAGAGCCATTCCTCGGAATTGCAGTCGCGAATTCTAATAAAGTTCGGCGAAGCCTTTCTCGGGATCTCGCGGCGTTTAAAACTCGAGACCGCGGGTAAATTGGAGACGGCCGTGCAGCCGGAAAAGGAGGACGGATGGCGGTGTTCCGTGGAACTCGTTCCCGTTCTACGTTGTAAGCATATCCGAGAAGAAGGTGCGAGCGAGCGAGCGAGCGAGCGAACGCGCGAACGGTACGGTGCCGACGACTATCGCAAAATACCTCGAACGTCGGGGATGCCGACGGTGTACCGGATATGATATCAGCCTCGAGCAGAATCCCGGTGGAAGCGTTGGACGTGCCTTATCGCGTCTGGTCCAGGCAGTCAGCCAGAGCACGAACCGACCTAACCAACACACCGAGGCGAACCAACCAGCTTGACTGACTGCTCGCAGGAGTTTCGCCATCCCCCATGGAGCGGTCCGCGCTCCGTGCTCGTGCTCCCGTGCACTCGTGCACCCGTGCTCCCGTGCTCCCGTGCTCCCGTGCACAGTCGCGTCCTCTTCCCTCCTCCGTTTCGCACGGTCGCCTCGGTGAGCGTCGCGACGCCGCCGAGACCGCGCGCGCGAGTACGCGTCCGCGATAAGCCGACTTACGAGGGACTTGGAAAGAAACGCGCGTGTCGCTGATGGCCTAACCATCTGTCCGCGGGAACCTCTGCTCGCGCACCGAACCGGTCGCTCGCTCGAGCCACGTAAATTTTTTACGATCTTTCGCTAAATTCCCCGTTCCCGCCTCCCATGCTGCGAACCGATAAAAAACGTTCCCGTACTTCTGGCTGGAAGTTGCCAGTCGGAGGGTCGCGGGAAAGGCTCGCGGGAAAGGCTCGCGATCGCGAACGCGAACGTTGGCTCGGGGAACGGAGGAGCCCCGGCAAACAGCGACGTCGCGTTAACGAAAACCGATCGATCGCGAACGCGCTCGCGGACGCGGAACGCGGACGCGGAACGACTGTGCGGCGTTCGGACACGATCGCGGGGCTTTGACGGGAGAGACGGGCTTTTTTCCTCAGCCATTTTCAAGGCAGCTGCGGGCTCCTGTCCGTCTAGATAACCGGTTCGGTCTAAATGTACGATTGGGACGAGAGCATACCCGTGCACTGGATATACGGGTACCCCTATGCAATATTCCAAACTAATGCGCGACATGCCCACAGCCGAGCCCACCGCCGTTTCGCCGCGGAAACATTCGACTCGGTCCCTCCTTCTTTTTCCCCGGAAACTTTCCTTCCTTTCGAAATCTTGCCCCGCTCGTCTTCTTCTGGATCGCTCGGACTCCGTCGAGTCCGCGAGAAACTACCGTCTAGCGCGATCGAACGACGCGAACGGAACGGTAAGGAGAGAATCAGTGAACGCACCCTTTGCCTTGGCTTTCGAATCGAGATCGACGGGGAAGGGCTCGGCGTCAGCGGCCGCCGCCGGATGGCAGATGACGGTATCGGCGGCCGAGGATGAAGCCGTGGTCGCGGCCGTCGCGTCGTCGTCGCTGCCGTTCAGAGTGTTGTTGCCGTTGTTGTCGTCCACGGTAGTCGCCGCGTTCGTGCTCGAAGCGCTCGCGGTTGCGACGCTCGCGGTTGCCGTTGACGTCGACGACGATCGTTGATAACCGCAGCATTCCTTCGCCTCTTCCTTCACCTTGACCTTGTGGAGGATCGTCGTGGTCGCCACTCCACCCTCCACTTTCATGCTCGCGAAGCAACTTCTTGCCTGTTCAACATATTTCATTCATTGATTCGCGATCGGTTCGAAAAACGCTGCGGAACCATGCTCGACGCGACGCGACGCGACGCGACGCCGTTTCGAATACGTGCTCGACATTCGACGTCCCGTCGCGCATACCGATGACTGATTTTAATGGAACGACCCGTCGGCAATTTTGCAAACCAACGAGGACGCATCGCGATTCGACGACTCGCCTCGAATACCTAAACAACCGAACGTTTTCGAATAACGGTGATCGATCGCTCGCCGAAAAACGAATCTGCCTAGGCCATAGGTTCCGCGAACGCGAATTAAACGATCGCGCGGACGATCGAGCGGGATCACCTGTACCGGATCGATCGTTTCGACTGCGAGTTCTCCTTGTTCTCGATCTCCGCAGGGCGAAAGATCGAAAAGGAGCAATATCCGGGGCGGAAACGGTCCCGAGAACCTGGCACGAGAAAGAGAATTAAATGGAACGAAAGCGGGAAGTAATCTTCGAGATCCACGTGGCGCGCAGCTCCTGCTGGCAGAATTTTATTTTATTGACGCGCAGCCGTGGCAGCAGCCCGCCTTCGGTGCCACATGGTCTCGTTATTAACGTGAAATGCAAACGAGCCCTTCGTTTCGTCCAAGAAACGGCACCCGGGACGGACGGCCCACTATAATTTTTACTGGAAAATTGCATCGCCAAATGTCGTCGTATTTTAACGGCCCGATAAACGTGTACGAGCGCTCGCGGTCCCTTCCAGTCCGTCATCGAGGGACCTGCAAAGGCGGCATTTATTCTACGCGTTCGTTCTACAAAGCGTGCAGCGAACCTCGCGAACCTCGCGAACCTCGCAAACCGTGAAAAACCCACAGAGGCGGACGCGACTCGACGCAACCGATAAATTGTCCGGATTCGTCGATTGCCCCGAGCGTGGAGCTTTAACGGCGCGCTCGTATAATTCCATCGAAATTACCGCGACAACGAGCCCCTTTCGACCTTATTAGGCGTCCAAGAAAACTAATTACCGAATTAATTCACGTCGAATCGCGGCGCAGCCGTTTTGCCCCCGGATAATTGTAAATACCGCAGCCACCAACCCCTTTTCCTCCGAAGCGAATTTCCAATTAGAACGCGTCAACTTTTCGGTTCCATTGCCGGCGGCGGGCCGAGGGGGGCAGAGGGGGGCAGAGGGCCGAAACAATTTCTGCTCCCGGAACGTCGGTCTCCGCCGAGAGCGGCGCCCCCCCGGGATCGGCCATCGATCAATCTCCTCCCGGAATCTCGACGCGGAACGATAAAAGCGTCAGGTTTGCGCGCGTTGGACGGGAATCCGGACATTCGGCACCGCGCGGCGGGCTCCGAGGGTCACCGGGAAACGATTCGCGGCTTTTATCGAAACGGATGCCCGCGATCGCCGTCGCGTCGCGCGCCGGCAGCGAACGATCGTCGACGCGAGACGGGCAGAGCCGAGACACCTTTCCATTGATTCGCTCGGGGTGGACTAGACGCGCGTCTGCGGCAATTCGTTAAGATGCTTAGTTAAGCAAACAAGAGAGCGGAGTTGTTGGCAAACGATATAATACGTGCCACGGTGGAAAATCCACGGCTCTCCGCCGATAATTGCGCGCAGCTGTGAGACGCGCACGGATATAAACGCGAGCTCACGCAGAGGTTTTTTCGGGGCGAGCGGCGCGTTCGGCTCGGGACCACCGATCGGCGGCCGATCCGATCTCGGGAGAGAGGAGCGAACGGGCGAGCCGCGCGAGGAGAAAAAAGCTTCGAGCACGTACGGATCGATCGCGGGCACGTTTCGAAGGAAACGGCTTCGCCATCGTGCCAGACTGCGAGCTTATGTTTATACATATGTCCTGCACATGGTACGGTGCCTGTCGGACAGGAGGTTGCGCGGGTGGAGACGCAATTTCCAATATTAGAACGGCCAGGCGAGAGGCAGCAAGCCAGGCGAGCCGACCAGGCAGCCGGACCAGATGTCTGCCGTACTGACTAGCGAGAGCGCGACGTACGTTTAGCTTGCTTTCATTACAAAAATGTCACGCACAGCCACCGTGTATGTGTCTTCTTGCTCGCACCGGCCTTTGACGATGCGCCTCCCGCCTCCCGCCTCTCTCTCCCTCCGGCGGCCTCCGTATCTCGTTGTCATTGTCTCCACCCTTCCATCCCCTCGCTGCTTCGCCGTTTACGCGGTTGTCGCGTAACGAGGAACGGCCGCGGAAAAACCGCAAACGGCGCGGTTCGATCGCATCGTTGACGCGCGACTGGTTCGCAGATCGTCGAGCCACGATTCGCGTAATTCCGATAAGCGCTCGTCGGCTTTTTTTCCCTAGAACCGCCCGTCATCGGCGGCCGTGATATCCACGGAGAATGGAGGGAGAATCGTGCGAGAATCGAGCGGGAATCGAGCGAAAACGTTCGGCTATTGTAACGCGGAACACCGATACGAAAGCAGCCGTTAACAAAGATTTAATCCGGTTTCATTAACCTGACGTCACGGCCAGACGCGCCGAATTCAGACCGGCGTTTGACGTTTTGCTCGTCACGCGTAGCCGTGTGGTCAATTTTCCAACGAACCGTCTCGTTGCGCCGCGCCGCCCCGCGCCGCGAAAGACGCGCTCGTTCTTTCGTATCGCGGTCGATCGAGTCCCGATCGAGCCTCGATCGAATCTCGATCGGACACGGCAGAGTCGCCGCACGCCGGTTTTCTCGGTTTAGCCGTTCAAACCTATGCACCGATCGCATTTCCGTCGTTCGAAAGATTCGCTACTCGAGCAATCGCGAACTTTGACCGTTGTCCGGCTAAAATGCCCGCTCGTTCGAGCGCGCGGCGACGGTCGATCCAACCCGGAGACACCGGACTGCTGTCGGCCGCAGGAGCGCTCGCCGCCGTTCCCTCGGTTCGGCGTGAAAGGGAACGAGGATAACGAGCCGCGCGCGCGGGGAAACCGCCAAAGACGAAGACGAATGGAAATCGAAACGAACGAGGAGGGAGAGAAAGATTAATAATATAGGAAAGGCAAAGCCGCGCTGCCTTCCGACGAGGTTTCCTCTGACTCTGTTCTGTTGCCAACAGTTAATCGATATAATACTCGGATACAGCGAAGCGACGCAACCGTGCCGCGTGTCTCGTGCCGCAACGTATGCACGCGCACGCGAGCGATCTCGCTGACGGCACGACTACCGGCGGGAGTCCGGTTCCGTGCACCGGGTCAAGAGCTGTCGCGCGTTCGACCTTTCGGCTTTAGACGCGCTCTCCCGCGTTCGCGTCCTCGTCGGAGCCGTTTAGGACGGAGCGACCGATTCGCCGAAAGGTATTATTTCATCCGCGCCTGGTGCCACCTGCCGTTTTCTCACACTCGAAGCGGCTCGTCCAGAGTTTTAGAGCATCGCGGACCAATATTTGCGCCGGTTGCAGCCGAACTAATATTTGCGTACGTCGCTCGATGTAAACGAACCCGGCGAATCCATTCCGCGGGCGTCGATTCGCGCGGCGAAAATCAACGATTTCGTCGAGGGAAATAAAGGGACCGCTGGAACCCGCGAGCCAGGCCGCGAGCTGTCGAGCGGACGACCGTACGAGCGGACGAGCGGGAGATCGATTAAACGACAACGAACGACGATAACGCGAGAAGAAGAAGGAGCGCGGTCGGAGGAGCCGATGGCTAATAGCGACGAACGGACCACCTTCCGAGGGAACCGGGTTATCGGGAACGGCGAATGCCGTGCGAACCGATGCACCTGACGGTTTTCGTAGGCCGCTCCTCGATCTGCGGCTAGGCCTCCGAGAAGAACACTCGAAAATTCTCCCAGATTCCCGTCGCTCCCTCCTCGTTTGCCGCTGCCCGTGGACGCGTTCGGCACACGTGCGCTCGCGAACGTCCGCCTCTCGGAAGCGACTCGCCACAGGCCACAACAGGTCGTCCCGATCGACGCGGCGACTCGATCGGCGAGCCGCGCGACGGTCTCGAGGAATCGCGAACGTTCGCCGTCACGCTCGGCAGGACGTCGGTGTTCGAGTGTTTCGCGCGAGACGGTCGATCGACGATACTCCAGCCGAACGCGTCCTATCTCCTACCTGTCGTCGAACCTCGGCGTTCTCGATTTCCCGTGGAAAAGTCCGAAGAGGCGAGACGGCGACGAACTTAAGAAAGCACGGTTCTCGCGCGTTCCATGATGCACTCGCGTCGCGAACTTGGGCCTTTCGGATTCGGCGGGAAACGCGGTGTCGCGGATCCGCGAGCCGCCGTCGGCGATCGAACCGTGGATCCGAGACGCTCGCGATCGCGCGACCACCCTTTCGAAACTTCGAGGAAGACCAGCGACGGAAAGCCGAGGAAGCCCGATGCGACTCGGCGCAGCTCCGGGAGAGCGACACCGGGAACCGCGTGGCACGGACGGCTGTCGGCAGCCGACTGAACGTCTCGCCGGAGAACGGGAAGAACGATATCAGCCGGTGGAGGTTGCGGAAGAGAGGTGGCGGTTCGCTGGCTCCACCACGCAACCCCTGTTTGCCTCGAACTCGCACCGGTCCCAATCCTTTCGTTAGCGGTCGCGGTGTTCGCGCCACCGACAAGTGTCCACGGTTCCGAAGGTTTCCGGGCTCGACTCGTGAATCGCGATGCGCTCGAAATACGATATAGACGAGCGCGGACTCTGCGGGGATATTGTAAACGGGCCGGTGTGCTCTTGACGCGTCGATATATTCCCGCGAAGAAAGCTCTGCCGGTGAAGCTGAGAAATAGCTTACCACCCTTTATCCACCCGTTATCCACCCGTTATCCACCCTTCATCCTCCCATCTCCCCAGCCGTCTTGTCCTGCCCTCTCGTCTTTGGGACGTGCAGAAGCGCGCGCGGCCTTGTCCTTTCGGGGCTCCTTTCGAATTCCCAAAGGGGAAAAGTTTCACCGGCGACTCTATTCGGAAGATCCGAAGAAGATCCGAAGAGTCTTCCCGGACAGACGGAGGAGACGATAAACGGAGGATGACCCAGTTTCGCGTCGCGGCGGGTCCAAACGAATTCGCAGCCGGAAACTAGCGCCGCGAATCGCGTGCACGCGCGCGACAATTTCTCCTCTCGGCATTCGTCCCTGCCGATTGGCAGAAATTCACGGGCGACCACGCGGACGCGCGCGAGCCGGCCTATTATACGTATTATTAGCACTCCGTCACGGGCCTGTCATCGCCACGCACACTCCTGTACGGTTGTTGGTGCGCGCATCGAAGGCCCCGGGATTCCACGGTAACCGGCGACCGCCTTCGATTCTTCGATCGGTATTCGAAGAAGCTTCCTTCGTGACCCACTGAAATCGACGTCGCTCCCACTTGGAAGTTGCCGCGAGCGAAAGCGACCAGCCGTCCTTTAAACCATCGACGTCGTCTGGTTCGCCGGCGAGAATTAAACGGCGATAGACGGAGCAATCTAAGTTCCGCCGCTTCGGCCGCGTGTAGCCGTTTCGATCGTTCGCGACGATCAACGTCGAGAACACGCCGAAGCTCGAACAAGACCGAGTAACGCTCGCGGGAGCTATTCCGATGATTTGCGCGCGAACTTGGCTCGCGACGAACGTTGGACGGACGCGGGTTCCGACGGATCGCGCCGTCACTCGCAGACGAGTCGATCCCGCGCTTCACACGGTCACGGAACGCCGCATACTTTCGCGCGCACTCGTAATTTACGACTTATCGGCCATGCTCGGAGTGATTTTCGCGCTGGTGAAAATTATACCGACGCGGACCATGCTCGTACAACTCGTCGAATTTCCTCTCTTCGTTCCGCCCTGCTCGTTCGATCACCCGTTCGGTCTCTCCTCCTCCTCCTCCTCTCTCTCTCTCTCTCTCTCTCCCTCTCTGCCACTTTCCGTTCCCCGGCCGCGTTCTCCCCTGTGTGGAAGCGACGCAAAATCGTGCTCTCGGCGTGGGCTGGCTTGTACCGGGATGTCGATACCACGAGGAGCGGATGTCAATAGCACGAAGTCACTCCTCTCGCGGGGGAGAAACCGCGTCAGCCGATTTTACAGCGCTTTCGCGAAACCGACCTGGAAAAACGCGAAACAGCCGTTCTCCTCGATCAATGCTTCTTCGAACGTGGATTCGCGTTCGCGAATTCGTTCTGGAAACATTACGAATTCCACGATCGTTTCCCCTTTGTCGTCTCCGGAATACCATGTCGCGCGCTGCTCGAATTCCTCGGGAAGATGCGACAAAGTTCGAGCAACGCACGCCCCGGCGTGCTTAGACGCGGGTAAACAGCTTACGTGTGCGAGCTGCGCTCCGGCTCGGACAAAACTGTTTTCTTTGTGCGCTCCGCGTTGACGAAACCAGCGGGTCGCGCGACACGAATTCCTCGTCGAATGGAACAGGTGAACCGGATGAGATGAAACAGCTGTTTCCGTGTTCTACCGAACCTCCGGCTTACAATTAGCCCTTCTCCCGTATCGCGCCGCGGGTCTTCCCCGGTCAGCTTAACCTCGTAAACGCGTGAACGCGCAAACTACGCGCGCCTTAGACCCTACTCTTTCTTTTTCTTTTCCATCTGCATTTTTGGAAACATTCGGAAGGAAGTCGCGAGTTCAACGTGTTGAAACGCGATCGCGCTCGACCGGGTCTTGGAACGAGACCCCACTCGAAATCACGGTTAAACAGAGTCTAACCATTCGCGTCTATCTACGGTTTCATTTCGAAACTTTACTTCGAAGAGTTGTTGCTGGGAAAAGGAAGGAACAGGATGGAACGGATAGAAAACAGCTGAGGCGCAGCTGGTTTCTGGCATCGCGACGACTGGCGTCTTCTACCCTGGAAACGGCAAGCCTTCGCCGTGTGTATATGCACGCGGCTGACGTATGTGTACAGTACAAACCAGACATGCTAGAAAGCAGAATCGATATCGATTCTTAAAAAACGTTTTTAGAAGACGAAACAACAAACGGGATCAAAAAACTTCGTAGTTTCCTCCAGGCCGAGAACAGGCCGAGAACACGCCGAGAACACGCCGAGAACACGCCGAGAACACGCCGAGAACACGCCGAGCCTGTCGCAAGCTTCACCGGAAGAAGAACGAAAAGAATCGACGCTAATCGATTCTTATGATTATTCCTGCGGACGCTCTGCAGCTGATTTTCAAATCGCGAAACGCGGCTGCACTTCCGAAAACCAGACAAATCCGGCGGGACTGAAATTTTCCATACCGGTCCTTTTCAGATAGGAACGATACTTGCGAGAAGGAGAAGTTTCACAAACAACAAGGAGTCACAGTGGAATGGTAAAATAGTTTTCCGCGAAATTTCAGCCCCTTCCCCTGTTCGTCGGACTTTCGGAAGTTTCGCTGTTACGCGAAATCGCGCACGGTACTTGCTATTCTTTCCATTACCTTTCGTGAATCGCGAACGATCCGATCGACTCCCGTTTCCATTTAGTCGGGCACCATCCGAGTCTCTTGCGCGGATAACGAAGGTAGCTGCTACCGGTACGGGAGGTCAGCAAACACGGTTGCATAGCAGCGGGCGTTCCTTCCAGACGTTAGACGCATCTCCGCTGGATGGCGATACGGCTTCTCAGCCATTCCTCAAACTCGAATCCCTCGTTTCAGGCTACGGTAGAACAAGAAATTTTCTGTAAGGATCGATCATTCGGAACGCGTCGGTTAAGAGTACGGCGTTAAATAAGTTGACAATGTCCTGAACGTTTTCTATAAACGAACACTATGGAAGCGTTCTAATCTACACGGTGTTCTCTGTTCTCCGCGGTAATTGGTTCGAACGCGATCAATCGTCGTACTTACCGCTACGGAATGATCAACTCTGCTCTACGGTGTATAAACAGCTTTATTCGTTATTCGACATTGATATTATTCACAGGCTCGCGATTTACAGGAATACGATCACGCGGACAGCTCGTTTGTTTCCGCGCGCCAAACGATCAAAGCGGCGCACCTTGGACTTCGGGGATTGTTCAACATCGAACGAGGAACATCGTTAATGCCGGTTAACGATTTTCGCGGCAATATTAAAGCATAAATTCTCAGACTTTCTTCGAACGTTCCCCTCTTCGTTGATTTCTCTTTCACGTTTGTTTTTTCGCTTCTTTTCCGTATGTTCGTACGTACATCCGGAACGAGTACTCTAACCGGTGTCGGACGTGCAGGACGAAGTTTCGGCGTTACTGTGATCGTTGTTGCTCTCCGTCGACGAACTATCGTTGCTCTTTATTCGTCGTTTCCGCAGCTTTGCAAACTGAAACTCCTCGACCGGAACTGTATACCAACAATTGAAGTCGTCATTAGTTTCTCGCGTAACTGCGCGATCGAGTTGGGAGCGAGAAGGGACGATCGCATTTCCGAAAGATCGGGAAATAAAACGAAGCAACTGCGTCTAGCGGAATCAGAACGATAAACATCTGTATTTCATTGAGCTATACCGAAGCTTTCATTCCATTACAGTATGACTGTTACGTTACAGCCACGGTATCGAAATCATTTCGAGTAATCTGTTCTACGACAATCTTCCTTTACGTTCGTATCGGATCGCGTACTATGGCTGTAACATGTACATGAGATTACTCTTAGTTTCTAACGTAGATCGACGCGTATAGTAACGTAACTATAACTTGCTCTCGTGCGATGCGTAGTATATGTCGAACAGATCGTCTCGTTGATAACAGTTGTCGAATGCTTTTGAGCTTACACGGAATTCATTTAAATCTTTACACATACTTTCGATCAACGTGCAGCCGCTCCGAGACGGATGCCGCCGTGTACATCGTGCATAATCGGACAATTAAGATGGATCCATGGATCGTTTCACGACAAGGAACAAAGACTGTTCGTCACTCGTTAACGTATGCATCGAAATAAGCAAATTCGAAATTGACTATTAACAACCACTCCGTCCGTTCGTGATTATATCACCAGGTACTTTGGTCAAACAAGGAGGAGAAGAGCTTTACTATAAAAATAGAGAAATCTCGATAACATTTCGTTTTCCTCGACTAAAACGATATTCTCGTGAATCACTTTCGAAATAATGGAATAATCGATACGATAGAGGCAGTTAAAGAAACGTTAATACTTCAACAACGAACAATTTGTCCGGAATTTCGGTAAATTTATCGCATGGTAATACAATTATTTGTAGATCAAGTTTGGTTACCATCAGAATCTGGATCTCGATCAGTAACATTTTGAGGTGTGGTTGGTAATGGAACGATTTCAGGTTCCAATGGTTTCACAGGACAATCTACATCCTCGACGATTACTTCTTCCGCCAAGCTGCTTCTTACAGCCTCTATAGAAATCAAATTGTACTCTCAGCGAACAGACTATCGAAACCTTATCTATGCAAACACAATTATTTTTTTATCTACCGTTGAATGCTTGAGGATATTGTTGGCTCAATTTGTTCTTTGCCACTCGGATCCTTTTAAAAATATAATCCAAATCCTTTTTCATTTCGATCAACAGAGCCGTATGCTTCTTAAATTCCATTCCAGCTGTCTTTAGCCTATTTACAGACAACTGATTACAATTTGTCAGCATCTCGTTGGTCTTTTCGAACCTCTGCAACCTGCGATGGAATAACGCAGAAACGTGAATCGAAAATGCCGCAGAACGAAAGACGCGCTAAAACTAGCGAAATTTTAAAGAAATATATTCTTACATTTGCTTCTGAGCCCTGATCATAGATTCTACATCCTGTTGATCGACTATACCGGCCAAACCTTGTATAAACACTTCTGGTGCTGTATAATTTTGGAAACATTCGAAACTCCCAGTATCCGATTCCGGCGTGCCTTGTGCAGTTGCCATTTTCTCCAAATTCTATGTATCGCAACAATCGTATTTTGCGTGTAATGTCATTGTTGTCGTCGCCACTCGTTTCCGACAATTCCGGCGCGACTAGGGTTTCTCTCGATGCACATTCATTGGATTCGTCGCGTTCGTGATACGGATCATCGATGAACGGCACTCGTGTCGGTTCAACCTCATATAAAATTAATATTAACCGTGAAACAGAAATCTACACTTTGCGAAACGTCGAACACAGCAAGCACACCACTTCGTCAGTTACCGACGATTCGCTCGTCGGTGAAGCTGCATTATCCCGAATCAATGGTACGATTGTCGAGTGTGCGTAAAGCTGGACGCGAAAATGTTACTAACTAGAAATCGTAGCGTTCCTTTTTCTAATTTACTCGATTGAAGTCGACTTCTCATACTTCCTCCGAACCCAGCGGACTCGTCGTGCAAACAAAGTACCTACGCTTCACCTTCAAGTCCTTCAACAGCTGTTTGAAGTCAAATGTTTTTACAAAGGTTTATAGCCGCTCCAACATTCAAATTTCTACAGTGACTGTTGTGCCTCGAGCTGAACCTTTGAAAATCTCGCGTGAGAAAAAAGGAATTTCAAGTAATCTGCTGCGCGAATTTGTTAAACCAGAATGTCACAAAACATAAATCCATTTTATTCGTCTCAAAACGCACCAAGTAAAGCTACCGAGGAAAAGCAGAGTATACCGAAAGACAACCATGCAGTTAGTAAACGGTACGTAAACTTTATTCAATGTTTACCATAGAAATCAACGACTGAATATGATCTCATGCCGGTGGTGTTTTCTCCTGTTAGTACTGTATCATTTACTTTTCGTTACGATATCGTATCATAAACATTTCTCAATCGTTACACCGTTGACTATAACCTACCATTTGGGCGAAAATTTTAAAATTGGCTCGACCCCAATTCGTAAATACTTGTGATCGTCAATGTGTTTTACTGTAGGATTACTTGAAAATAATTTTTGTTCCTTGTACCGACAAAGATAAAATGTATGCGTAGACTACAGAAGGAACTTATGGTTTTGATGATGTGTACGGAGAAAGGTGTTTCTGCGTTTCCTGATGGAGAAAATTTGTTCAAATGGATTGGAACTATCACAGGACCAAGGGACACGGTAATACTTTCATCTTACATAATTAAAGTATTAATATATAAATATATATATATATATATATATACATATATGATAAACATTGTAGCAATGCTTAAGCCACCTTATATTTATTGCTATCGTAGGTTTATGCAGGCCTTACGTACAAGTTAACTTTGGAATTTCCTCATAGTTATCCATACAGTGCTCCCATAGTGCGTTTTGCAACTCCTTGTTTTCACCCAAACGTAGATGCAGTAGGTAACATTTGTTTGGACATATTGAAAGACAAATGGAGTGCTTTATACGACGTGCGTACTATATTATTGTCTATACAGTCTCTTCTTAGTGGTAAGCATACTTATATCGAATCCACATGTAAAGCGAAACGAACCTTTGAAGAATACGACGTGCGTTTTATTCTACAGAACCTAACAATGAAAGCCCACTGAATCCTCAAGCGGCCAAGTTATGGAGCGATCAGACAAAGTACAAGAAACATTTGACGGAAGAATATAACAGAGCTTTAATTCGTGACCAACAAGACTCATGATAAGTCCATTCTTGTAATCATCTTGGCTGAGTTAATATTTCTATTTCCGTCAGCGTTATTATTAGGTTTAAGGCATACAATGACCTGTTGCACCAAACTTATGAACTATATTATAAACAGTTCAGACTTTTGTTTTATTTCTTTTTCTTTTGTCATCGATCGATGTAATTGTATTGCGCAAAAAGAGGCGAAAATGAATTTTATATCGTCCATTTTTGTTGCCTAATTTCGTACATATGCCTGGAAGGCGAATGAAATTTGTATCATGATTTTAAGACTGTGTATGCGTATTAAACACTTTTGCATAACAAATTTTGTATCAGAAACTTTTATTTATTATTTACTTTTAGTAATATATTTTAACTTTTCTATACATTTTAGAATATTTCATACGTATTAGCTATACTCGATATTACGTCATTTATCGTTATTGTATAATTCGAAAATAAATATTTTAAACATTGATGTTCGATATTTAATTAAATTTAAGTGAAACGTTCCGGAGAAAAATTGAATTTGTCACAGTCGGCTCGCTGCAAATAATAACAGAGCAATTTTCTACCATTATCAGGCACATTGAGCATGGATGAAAACTGAATTCGCTACGAATAATTAATATTTGTGTCGAGTCGATAAACTTGACATCAATATTTCGTCGTTGAAACTTTACGAAAGACATTTTGCATGTGAGAGAAATATCCAAGGTGTATCCGAGAATCATCCGGTTCCTTCAATAATCGGATGCATGAGGTGAGCGTGTAAGAGAAAGAAGAAACAAAAAGAAACGAGAAAATGATAATCGAAGAAAACATTGATCCTTAGTTTTTCCCTCGTTTCGCAGGACCTACCGAAACGCAGTTCGCGAATCCCTTAAAGAATTTACGGAAACAAGATACAGATCATTGGACGGGAGTGTCCGAGAAAGATTTCGACGCAACGCGGGCTTGCGATTTCATGAAAACATCGAGCCGGCGAGCATTTTTATCGTTGATTGTTAATTGAATGTAAATCAACTTAACGGTGCTTGCTTTTCCTTCGAACGATACGATATAAGCAAGGATTTCGATTTAGGTTTCGACAATTGTTGTCAAGCCTGAACCGGCAAGGCTGGGGACAATGTGCGATCGATGTACATGCGTACGTACACGCATACATAAATAAATCTCGACATTCCCGTATACAGCGAAAACATACAAATGAAGAGGATTTTGATAAGCAATCGATTCAAGGTTCACGAAAAGTGGGGACATTGATATTTGATCTTAGCGCGTGTACGCCAAGCACGATACGTGCCTGGTGATCTCGTTGCGCGCACAACGTTGGAGGGAGCCATATCGGTGACTCAGCATATACGGACGGAACGACGGCATAGTCGTCAGCCATGCTAGCGACATCATACCGAAATTTCACGCGCAACGTATCGATCCGTTCACACGCCGATCTCTTCGCAACCTTTCGAAATGGTTGCAAACGATTATCTTCCGCATCCGAGAGTCGAGAGGGACAGGTACATGCATGTTTTTCAAATAGACATTCCGAAATCTTTGGAAACCGTTGAATCATTTAACAGGAACAAAAAATCACCGTGCACGGGGTAAATATCAATTACTTGACGGTCGGAACCGGTGACCATGCCGTCTTGCTTATGCCCAGTGCCGCAGGTAAGCGAAATTAAACTTGCATCTCGAATACATGACTATATTTAGAGAAAATGTCTGCGTCGCAGGCTCGATCTGGACCGATTTCAAGCCTCAAGTAGAGGGTCTCGATCGAAAGAGATTCACCGTGGTCGCGTGGGATCCGGTCGGTTATGGAAAATCGAGACCACCGGACAGAACGTTTCCGGACGATTTCTTTGAACGCGACGCTACTCATGCTCGCGATCTAATGATACTTCTGGGATACCAGAAATTCTCGCTGATAGGCTGGAGCGACGGTGGAATTACTTCGTTGATCCTGGCCTCTAAGTTTCCCGAAAACGTCCGAAAACTGGTGTCCGTTGCGGCCAACAGTTACGTGACACCGGAGGAAGTTGAATTTTACAACAGTACGTTCGCCGAGCTTATCGTTTTCGAGTCGCCTCGCGTCGCGTCTTGAAAGGGAAGTGTTCAAAGGAAAGATTCTCCGCAGAAATCAGAAGCATCGACACTTGGTCGGAGAAGATGCGAGCACCGATGATAGCGATCTACGGAGAAGAATATTTTTCAAAAGTATGGTCCGGCTGGGTCGACGCTATCACAAGGATTTCGAAGAAAACGAACGGCAATCTGTGCAAGGAATTACTTGCAAATATCAAATGTCCGACTCTGATAGTCCAAGGGAAGAAAGACGTAATGGTCGACGACGAACATCCGCTCTATTTGAAAGAACACATCGCCGGAGCAAAGTACGTACACGCTTATCGTTCTATATCCGTTTACGCGACGAACGCTCCAGTCGATTTTACAGTCAGATTCGAACGAAACGTTAACTGCTTTCAGGTTGGAAATGTTCGAGAACGGAGCGCACAATCTACACATGCGATACCCTAAAGAATTCAACGATCTCGTCACAGACTTTCTCATCGAGTAACCATCGACCCCCCTCATCGGTGAAATAAAATATACTTAACGAATCGGATCACACTGTGTACGTTACCTGTGTCTCTTTTCGTACAAGCGGTTCGCGCGGATACGTTGGTAGACCGTATCGACGGGTCGTGCGAGTGTCGTGTAAAAATCGGTCAAGACTTCTTATCGAGTACGTTACTCTCTGGTAATGTTCGTTCTACGGTGAAGCACATTGAATGCATGACGCAGCATAGAGGACACACGTGGGCTAACCGGCACCGGAATCGAGCCAGAGAAAGGAGCCACGGTACCATGTGGGCGATCAAGTCTTCTTCTAGATTCGCTTTGTTCGACAACACCTTCCGAAAATCTCTTTCGCTCCTGCTTTGACGCGTGAACGTAATCATTGACGCGTTTCCCTTGAACGCGACAATGTCGCCTGATCCGGTGCTGCACGATAGTTATCGAGAGACTAGCAAGCCATTCGTGCCGATATAGTTTTCCCGATTCGAGCTAAGCGGAAGACGAACCGGCGACTAGACTATAAAATAGCACGATCTACACGGGCATCGAGGACCGCCCATCCGAAATATCCGCAATGCGCTTCGGACGAAAATCGATCCGCACCCTCGCTCGACTCGGCTACGCCCCGAAACCTATGCCAGCACACGAAACTACCGTACTACGAAAGTAAAGCGCAAACTAATAAAACCCGGTATTACATTCGTTTCGTACCTTTATGACACACCGTAACTCTCAACTTCGAAGACGCGGTCTTCGTTAACGTTCGTCAAGAGTATGCAAAACGCGATACTCGTCGTTGCTTCGCCTCCCTCCGAACCATCGACGTAAAGTCCTCGCGGATAGAAAACGATCCTGCACTCCGCTCGTTGCGCGAACATCCTTAAGAGCAAGACGAAAAACAGTGCGCGAACAGATGCCCCAGCGCGAGTGCTCCCGGAACACTTTTGCCACTCTCCCGGCACGAGATTATCGTTTGGAACACGAACCAAATGGAAACTGCGTAACGAACGAAACGCAACGAAACGCAACGAAACGCAACGAAACGCAGGATCGTTCAAAAAGAGCACCTTATCTTTTCGAATCGGTTGCAAAGGTAATAATCAGATTTTCGAGGGAAAAACTTTGCCAATTTATCGTCGCGAACTACCAAACGGAGTACGAACGAGAGGGATAACGCGCGTATAATGCAGCGGGTGTGGCCAAATATGGACAGACTACTTCGCGATTCGATCACGTAAACCTGTCCTTATTCTTTTCGTTCTGTCCTCTATCGCGGTTCCCTCCCTCGACGAAAGCATCGCGAGAGCTACCAAATATTTTCACGCGTGACTTTCATCGTTGGACAAACAACAATCTGCGGGAACCTCGACGAATTTTCCCAACGAAGATGCGTTTCGCCGCATAAACGAGACGCGCGACCAGCGGAAGGATCTTCCGTTGATGGGAAATGAAAATTGGATGTAATTTTCCTCCCGATAGGATCCAGCAGCATCAAATACATATTTATGTAGCAACGTATGCGATCGCACGCGTGTACCTTAAAAAAAGGACGATCCTTTCCACCGAATCTGTGCCAACGCTGTCGCGCGAGTTTTCAACAATTTCCCCGGACCGGCATCTTTATTCGGTAGCAACGAACGGTTTTGTTTCGGTGAAACGCAACCAGATCCCCGGTATGCAAATGCTCCTCCCGTTATGGACGTACACGATGCCTTGTTCCGATGACATCATTCCGAGATGTTACTTAACGCCCAAGCTATGAGAAAATTCGGTATCGTTCCGACGTACCGATATATGTACCGGTGCTCGGCTAGACGTTTCCCGATCCACGGGGCTCTATCGCGGGTCTGGGTTAACGCGAATCGCGTCAGCCTCTAGACTTTTCGAGTCGAATCGCGACGCCGTTTGCTCGCAACTTGGACGTATCCCGCGCGTTGTCTTCTCCCGAGTAGAAAACGACACCATTTACGGTAGCTTGCGTCTCCGTTGTTGATCGTTTTCGATTCCGTATCGCTCGAGATCGTACGAGAAAGTAGTCGTGCGTCAAAATCTTGGCCTCGATACGACCAGGCACCCCTTGCTTTCCAAGTAAGAAACGAACCGATCATCCGGATCTTCTAAAGTGTATCGCGAGACGCCTACTATCGTACACGAGCGTGTCGGATGCGTGTCGTTCGACGAGCCTGTGTCTGCCGCGTAAGGCCGCTCGTTGACGATACACGCGAACGCGAAACCTATCAGGCACGCATAGTTTCGATCTCCAATAACCGAATCGCGTCGACAAGGATACACACGCAAGCTTGCGAAAATATTTAGACGTATTCGGCGCACACGACATCCTCTGGATCAATAA